AGTTTTGGACAACAATCCCCAGAATGCCCCAGGCAGCATGATCACTGACCATGCTGGCTGAGGGATTCTGGGAGTTATTAATACAAAAGAATAACTTTTCTGGATTCTGATGCTTCTCAACAGCATCATCCTACACACAAGTAGGCTTTACTCCTGAGAAATGCCGGCACATGGTTGCAACCATAAAAATACTTTCAGAGGGTGTTACCAGCCTCAACTAAACCATATCCTAAAATGCATCTGAAGAAGTAGGTTATATTTATATTTATTTATTTATAACCCCAACATGCATCTGAGGAAGTAGGCTATATATAAATATTTATTTATTTACCTACTTATTTATAACCCCAACATTCATCAGAGGAACTAGGCCAGGTATGTTTATTTATTTATTTATTTACTTATTTATTACCCCAACATGCATCTGATGAAGTAGGCTATATATATAATGGATGTGTGTGTGTGTGTGTGTATAACCTATTTATTTATTTATAACCCCAACATACATCTGAGGAACTAAGCTATATTTATTTATTTATTACCTACTTATTTATTTATAACCCCAACATGCATCTGAGGAAGTAGGCTATATATATATATATATATATATATATATATATATATATATATATATATATATATATATATATATATATATATAATGTATATAATGTATATATATATGTGTGTGTGTGTGTATAAAACCTATTTATTTATTTATAACCCCAACATGCATCTAAGGAACTAAGCTATATATATTTACCTACTTATTTATTTATAAACCCAACATAAAGTATCTATCTGTCTATCTATAGTTACCTACTTATTTATTTATAATCTCAACATGCATCTGAGGAACTAAGCTATATATATGTTTGTTTGTTTATTTACCTACTTATTTATTTATAACCCCAACATGCATCTGAGAAAGTAGGCTCAAGTCTAGGAAAGCTCATGCTACTTGCTTACAGTTAAGTCTCATCTTTTGCAACCCAAATCCCATTGAGAATTGCAGAAAACTTCTGATTGCTTCTCTGGGCGATCGATCAAGGCTGGCCCGCCCCTTCATGACGTCATCGATAGCCTATAAGGCCAGGGTGGGCTTAGGTAGCCTTTGTACAGCAGGGGGCTTTTAGGAAGTCGAGGTTGCATTGTGGTAAGTGGGGATCATTTTAAGTAACAGTGTTGCATTTGGGAATGGTGTTTTGCTTGGAATGTATCTTTTTTTAAAAAAATCCACAAAACAGTGATACCTTTATGGGATCAGGCAAAATGCAAAAAAAAAATTATATTATATTATATTAATGTTGCATGCTTTTGAAATTCTGGAATTTCTCCCCAAAGTATCCAATGAAACTGGTTTAAGAATGATGGGAATTGGGCAGAGGGTATGGGTTTGCAAAAGCCATGCTTATCTAGCCATAGCAGACTGCTGAAGCAAGATGGCCCTAAGCTTTGACCCATGAGCTCTGATTCTCTTATAGGCAAGCAAGAATGAATGTGCTCTTCCTTTTTTATGTTCCTAGACTATCCAGTAACCATTTTTCCAGATGTGGGACTCCTTAGTCCCCAGAGATTTGGGTTTTCCCTCCATCTCTCTTTGTGGGGAAGATGTTGTCTCACTTGGACATAAGCCTTTGCAAGGAGAGATGGCTGTTGTGTGTTCTGTGTGTGGTTGTCAAGAGTCATTTTAGTCTGTTTTTAATTATTTGTGTGTTTATAATGTGTTTCTCTATTGTACTTTGCCTTAGGAGGGCTGGTGGCTTGAGAAGCAGGAGACAGATGCTTGAAATAAATTAATAATAAATGAATAATAAATAAATAAATGTGGTGGAGTCTCCTTCTTTGGAGATCTTTAAACAGAGGCTGGATGGCCATCTGTCGGGGATGCTTTGATTTTGAGTTCCTGCATGGCAGCGGGTTAATAATAATAATAATAATAATAATGTTTTATTTATATCCCACCTTTAGCCAAGATTATCAAGGCGGCTTACAATCTAAAAGCACAATCTCATGCAGTACAAAGAACCTTCACACACACACCCCAAATATATTAAATTCATAACAACTCTCTTCCAACTTTATGATTCTATGAATGAACCAGAGTCTTTTGATTGTGTGCCTTAAAAGTCATTTTTGACTTATGGGCAACCCTATCCTGGGGTTATCTTGGTGAGATTTGTTCAGAGGAGGTTTGCCATTGCCTTGCCCTGAGGCTGAGAGCATGTGACTTGCCCAATATTACCCAGTGGGTTTCATGGCTGATCAGGAATCGTACCCTGGTCTCCAGAGTTGTACTCACAACACACCAGCCACTATGCCAACCTGGCTCCTACCATGCAAAAGGATGAGATAAAACAAATAAAGGCCACATGCTGATCTGAAGGGCACTTCTCACTGCTCTTCCAAGAACTTGCTATTGAAAGTCTATAGTAGATTAATATTCAATAAAGGCATGGCCCTCCTGGGATACGGAGCACTTTCTGTGTAGACTCTTAACAGTGTCCTCAGCTGCTCCTGTAGCCATTTTGCACAAAATTGGCATTCTCTTAAGCAAACCCATTTCTTTGCCTCCTCTGTGGCAGAGAGTGGACTTGGCCTGCCTTTCAGAAGGATCCTCTTGGGGTTACAGCATAAGAACTGCCCAAGGGATATGTGTGGAGTGTTTTTTGGGAGTCCTGCCAATGGAGCAGAAAGAGATGCTGTTGTGGCCCCCTATTTCAACTGTCCTGCTCAGATCCTGCAAATGCAGGACCTGAATTTTAGCTGCAGTTGAAAGAAACTAGGGTTTCTTTCAACTGGGTGATCTTGGGCAAGCCACACTCTCTCAGCCTTGGGGGGGGAGGCAATGGCAAACTTCCTCTGAGCAAATCTTGCCAAGAAAACCCCATGATGGGTGCCATACCTTGGAAACAAGACTGCACACAACAGACACACACAGAGGGAGAGAGATAGTAGCTTCCTTTTCTCTGGTCTAAATCCAGTTGCTAAATCCACTTAAAGTATACCCATTGAACCAAGAA